GGCCAGTGGTAGGAGAGGGACTAAAGCGGTAGGGGAAGGGAAAAAGCCCTAGAAAGGAGGCAGCGAGATGAAGGGAGATGGTACGCTATCTTGCGCATAATGCCAATTAATTAATGGATACTGTGCCCGTGCCTCGGCTCGATATTATGTAACTGGTACCTAGGACGACTGTTATCGATTTACGGTTTCGTTGCCGAGGTGAACGTAAGTCTCGCTTGGCTCCCGAGTGCCGTTCGTTAGACCACGCGTCTGGGACCTGCTTGCTTTTCAGTTTTAAGCACCGATTTTTCGGTTCCACGTGTTTACGACTTAGCTTCTTCCGCGAGTTGCATAGGTTTATCGGGTACGCACTTTGTTTATTGTGCAACCCTTTCAAGGATTAATTCGGGAGATCGGGGAAACTGTGTTCTCTGATGGATGGACGTGTTTGCGTGAAGTTTATTGATGCCTGATAGATTACGTGGAAATCTAGTTTACCTTTAGAATTTAGCGGGCGTGGAGTCTGAACTGTGTTTATAGGTTAATCTTAATGTTTAACGGGGGAATGCATTGCCGCGGGTTACTTTTGATTTTGAGTGTATGTTCGTGGAATGTAGTTTTGTACCAATATTTGACGCGTATTCTTTTTGTAGATAGTGTATGTATTGGAGAGATAAAAAGTATATTGAAAATAATGAGGATTGGTAAATTGTTCATTTTTTATCCAGGAATTTAACTTTTCCAGGGAATGTTGAGAAACTCCATTTGTTTAATTAATTTAGAAGCAATTCTTTTTTGTCAATTTTTTTAGTTAGGGGTTAGATTATCTTCAAATCGATGACAAAAATAATTTGTGTTCCTAAAGGTCTATCAAAATTACGTTTTGTCGTGTATAAGAATTAATTAGTTTAATTAGAATCCTTATTTTTGAATTCCAGTATTGATTTTAATGATTTTAGAGGTACGCAAGAACTTCGCGTATTTATTATTAATATCGCAATTTGTGAAGCTTTTGTATTCCACATTAGAGTACCTTCAACGATTCGCTTGCTTCAACCCCTAGAGGACAAAGACATTCAAAGTTATTCAAACTTGCGTCATGGAACATACAAACGACAGGTCGATAAATCACGCGTAGGATATAAATAATGCCGACAATATGGCTATACGGATAGAAGAGAAAGATCAAAGGCTGAACAGACGTCTAGCCAGTTGGATATCGTTATCAATAACGTAATTTACAGCTCTACCGTTAAATGTCACATATATTTGCAATATTTACGATCGATGTCACGAGAAAGTTTAAATCTATGGTTGAAATTTCCGGTAGAAAAGCAAAACGATTGGGCGGAACGGAATGACTCGTTTGCAACTTAATCATTATTTCTTCCTTCGATTCTCGAAAAGTTTTCAAGTCGAAACACAATTTACACAAGAGACTTATAATTCATTAAAAAACATGCGAATAAGTAAACAGCTGGTTTTATCCGAACAAAGCTTTTATTCTTTGAGTGTTATGTTAGGAATACTACACCCCATGCCTCAAAAAATGAGACATTTTTATTTTGTATAATTTGATGCGGGTCTATTTGCAAATCCTTCCTTTACACGGCGTTTATCTTAATCATATCATTAACCAAGATTACGTAATAGCATATTAAAGGATCCGGCAACAGGTTCGACGATTAGACTGCATTTCCCGGCAGTTAAAAGAGTAAATTGCAATGTGTAAAGGTACAAAGTTGCCGGAGCATGTTCCGCCGGCACACGTACAACCGTTTCCCCGTGTTTCAGACGCGTACAGATTACGCGGGCAACCGTTCCTCTGAAATATCCCCGTTATTCCGAACAAATGACTCAATAATGATCTCAAGAATGGAAGAATGGAGAATAATTGTCGCAAAAATGATCGTCGAACGGGGAAGGCATCGCGTAATGGGACTAGTTTCTTTGTAAAGTAAAAGTAGCTCACAGATCAACCTCCCCGGGCTTCATCCACCGTTCCTTTCATTTTTTTTTACGTTCGAAAGATTAATAGCCGCCTCGCAGTTAGATTACTTATGGTATTTAACAAGCGCAAACAGACAGCAAGAAAATTTAAATGTCAACATTATTTATTGCAACAGATCGGTCGTATATTTCTTCAAATATACTTTGCGTAACCTTAAACATCAAATAAATATAACAAATGCTTCGTGCTTCCATCGAGATCTTTCACGGATTACTTTCCCTTCCGATGAAATTAACGAAACGTTCTCCCGTATATGTCTCCCGAATATATACATTCGAACGTGTAAGTCGGGCATTGAACTTTTAACGCGTCGACACTTGTCTGATCTACTCACTGAACAAGCTCAGGTTCCTTCAAACCGGTAATCAGTACTACCGACAGATTCCCTTACCTGCAACAAAACAGAGAATCAAACATTAATACGCAATCACGACGAACATAACAAATAAACTTATCATCAATTACAGAAGTCTTTTGTGCAAAGAAATATAACTCTTTCTTGAATGCACACCGCATGCAAAAATTCCATAATAAGGACGTAATGAGAGATTCAGCGCCAGATTAAACAAATAAACGAACAGTAAGTAAAGGAAGAATGCGAGTAGAAAATCCCAGGCCAGTCTGCGCCGTAGAAAAACACGGCCTGCAAGGGTAACTGGTGGAATGTCAAGTGTTCCTTGAAGGGTCGAAGGATTTCCACGTCGTTCTTTCGACTCGGATCACCGTGGCAGGGCCAGGCGGAGGCAAGATTAATGCGCGCGGCCGGCCGGGGCAGTCCATCAGCCGCTAATGCAACGGGAATCTCGTTCGAACGTTAACAAAGTTAACGCGGTGGTCGCAGTCTCACGCAAAACGCACGTCATCGGCCGTAATGACCGATTACACGGGACAAGTGTCATCGTCATGGCCGGCCGGGCCGGGGCCCTGGCGATGGCGTCGTCGCGTTACGCCTAAACCGCGCGCGGATCGTTATTGAATTATGCGCGATGCCCGTAATCGAATCATCATTATCCCCGGTTAACGATCCGAACGAGGCCGAAGGGCCTTGCTGTGGGTCACCGTGTTCGAAGAACTTTGAAGAGCTTTTGGCTCCGGCTGGCACGAGGCCGTCATCCTTGAGGCTGACGACACGTTTCGTGTTCGCCTCTGATCACTTTACGATTCTGGATTTTTAATTAAGTACGTTTCATTTAAAAATTGACTGTTTGAACTATGAAAGACCTGCGTTGATTTGATATTTTGAAGGATTTCATCGAGTTATTGAGATTTTGATGATTAACTGAAGTTGTTACTTGTTTATTGTGAATGTAATATGGAAAACTAATGTGCTTTGTAGTAGTTTGAGAAGCTTTATATATTTTAAAACGCTCAAGCGAGTAAATTTTTGTATCTGATTAGTTTGACTTGAACTTTAACACAGTTTCATAAGAAGAAGGTTAATGTAGTTATTGTGTAATGAAACATGAGGATTGAAGTTACTGTAGCAGAAAGAATAGTGAAGTTAACGATAAAATGTTATTGGTTGGATTAAATGTAGTTTAGTTATATAATAGTATGAATGTCCTTGATTAACGATGCAGTGGCATTATTGATGAATCATACTTTGAACGGATGTATCGTGTGTATACTGCGATTTCTAGAACAAATTTAAATATGGCGGAATCAAGTCATTAAGAAATCGTCGTGTATTCTTCTATAAACCAACTTCAATGGAGTTGCGGAAGTAATTTGCAGATGCGCCCTAAATAAATCTGACCTATGAGGATGGGAGCCGCAATTGGAGCAATGTTCTATTTTTGAGTGGCTCATAAATTATTCATCCCCTAATACAATCAGACTCTCGCGCACAGACTAACGAGAGAAATCAATATAAGAATGTGTACAATTTTATCAAGAACGGAATTGCATTCTTTTTGCAACTGCACTTACACATAGGAAACCGCATTCTCTGAAAACTTTAATTCGATGAAACCCATTTGTGATGATTGTAACATTTTACAATCACGAGATGGACTGAACAAATTACAAGAAATAAAGGAAATGCAATTACATTCCGTAAGCTTCTCCGGATTTCCATTTACATTGTCACTGAAAAATATGATGTATATAATATAATTTCTTGTACTTCGAAGTACTTGATTCCGATTAAAAATGAAAGTTATAATTATAATTAAAATAAACTTCTTGAAAAAGGAAAACATATATTCGGAATTTTTGCTCCAAACATTTGAGAAGCAGTGTACAAGTAAGAATCGAAAATCAAATGTGCGCTGCAGTTTCTTTTTTTTCAGATATTATTCTTCATCCGCAACCGAGAACAGGCACGACCGGCTTCAATGACTCACGCTGCATAGTAATAGATACCATCGTAGCTCATATATGGCTCGAAAATGTGTTCGATCAGATTTCCCAGGCTGAAAACACCCTGGATCCCATCCGTGGCCGCGACACGCGAAAATTTACGTTTCTCCTGCAGTGTTTGTAACGCGCGTTTCGTTGTTGCCGTTACGAAATCGATTCAGATGGCCAGGAATGTTGTTAACGCGTTTTAGCTTTCAATTTTGAACGCGACATTTGGTGTCTATTGTGGAATAGTCGGGGCGCAAGTGCGAGTGTGGCACGGGCCACATTCAATCCACTCTTTTGACACTCCTACTGTCAAATTTATTGGACGTAATATATTCACCGTGTACATGCAGGATTGCGAGCATCAAATTACTATCTCGATTATCATCAATGCTGTTATTTTACACAAACGGGAAAACAGGCGAAATCATCCTAGCGAGCAACAAATACTCTTCCGGATACTCGGAATTCAATTATTTCATGCAACCTATTTCGTTCTCTAAGAATCAATTACCTAGACAATTTTAAAACGTCGCGTGATACTCTAGCAAACCTGTTTGTGGATAATTGTAGGAATTTTTACGCAATATTTATATAAATTGCTTATGTAAATTATAGTAAAAGGAATCAAAAAATTGCAGTGTCTAATAATACCTTAGTGATTGACAAATATCTATGAATATCTACGTAATCAATTTTATATATAAATATATATGTTTCATGAATATTTTCGTATTCGAGTTTTCTGTAACTAGTCCAGTGAAAAAAGTTCCAAATTTTATAGACCAAGAGGTTATTCCTAAGAATGATCAAGTATGAACATAGAAGCTATAATTCGTTGAACCACTGCACACGAATTGTAAGCTAAAGCAAACAGAGATTCTTTGTGAAGAATCAGCTTACCGGTAGCAGGGTTATGCTCTTTTAACCCTCCTCTCCCCAATCACCATGCTCTTTTCTGTTCTTTTTGTTTTCGTGATCCTCGTATTCTCGCTGGTTGGTTGGTGGTCGCGGTTGACTCATCGTTATTAGAAAAAATAAAGAAGACGCTTCAAGTGGGGAGTCGATCCCTCAAGACGTTGCCACTTGACTTCGTGAAGAGTATAGGGGAATGAAAATACGATGATTCAGATTTGAACGAGGAATTCCAACAAAAACCGGGCTCGTTCTTTAACAGCTAGCTCCTTTAATCGTTCACTTTTAGTGTATTGACGAGTCCGACCCTATTGACGATTACGAATCGTTTAATGTGAAGAATTTAAGACAGATCAATAATTTTCCTACAAAAATTCTTATATACTACCTCCATATACTTTGTCACTTTGAAAACTAAGTCGTGAAATAAATAAAATTTCAAATAAAAAATTATCCACACCTATGATTCTTCTCCTTCTTAACCTGTCCCTCTGTAATAATCACAGTCCTCCTCTTAATTAACACTCAATTCCCCTAAAACGAAATATTACTAAAACCTGACTTCAGAAACACTAGCCTTCTACAGCGCAATTTAAGTACTTCCTCTATCTCGCAATTAACTCAAGTGCGATATCCAATCAAAAACTATATCCACAAAATAACCCATAAAGTCCAGTCTGACGCAAACAAGCACCAGTCAAATCCACATCCAAGACACCTCACCGAAACTCACCCCCAGATACCCAGATCGTGTTCCCACAAGCAAAACACCTCGTTTCCCGACAGGTCGCGACAAATTCCTCGAAACAGGGAACACCTCTCTGAGATTAGCGAAACGACGCGAAAAGCATCGTCGAATATTTTCCCCGCTGATGTCGCCCAGCAGGTGTGTGCGGGGGGTGCGCGCAGCGGGAGGAGATCGGTCCCACGGTGGAACCCGAGGCTTTCCATCGGAGATTCCTTGGCCGCTAACGCGCCGCGCCGTTGTCGTTGTCGCCGTCCCCGTCGCCGTTAATTCCGCGCCACGGTGTGCGGCCGCCAACACACCGCGCCGCGTACGTGTCCGTGAACGCACACGCGTTCACGTGGGAGAGCCGGACACGCCAGATGCGGCGCGCCCACGCGGTGAAAGTCGCGGTAATTGATTCCGTGCTCTTAAGACATCTCGAACGGAGATCCCGCGGCGAGATTAAGCGCGAGGAGAGGATCGCCTGAGAACACCGTTCGTCGCTCGATAGAAATCTAATGGGGAGGGCGTCCGTGCGACCGTTACGCGTAAGGTGACCGACGAAAATCGGGACGCATTTGAAGAATAAAATAGGAACGAGGAAACACTTATCTTTGCTGTACAGTTCAACCGTTTTATTTTGCTTTGTATTAGTTTGATAGAGATTTATATTGTTTTATGTAGTTTCATAATTTCTTTATGTGCTTCCAGTTTGCTTTCTGTAGATTCAATTACATAGATCAATGTGCACACGAAAAAACTCACGCCCGCAACTGGCTTTTAATAACCGTCCACCCGTGGTTACGTTGATCTCGGTTATTAAGATCGAAGATTTGGACGGGAGATTTTTATCTGAAGTTGATGACACTCTGCTTACGAAAGTCGATGTTAATTAGGGGTTTTATCTTTGGAGATAACGTGTGTGTACGTTTAATTTTATGATGATAGGAATGCCGGGTAGTCACTAGCGGTGTATTTGGTTTTCAACGGACGTTGATATATAATCTTGAATCTTATATTTGTTTGGACCTCGTTATTCGAACTCGCGATCATTGATTATACAATGAATCGTGTTAAACGTTAACTGTTACCGTTGAACTCCTTATTACACGCAGCATTTATTTCTATAACGGCACCACTGGGTACTGTGACGAGATTATAACGAGCACTAGGCTCGCTGCGATTGGTTCCCCCAATCTTAAGTTGTCCATAAGACGGAGCAGCGAGTGCATCGAGGGATGTGGTGCGATTACAAGGAAACAGCCGAACAGAAATCGTATGTAATAAGGCAGGACCTCTATTAATGGGACCCCGTGAAATCGACGGATTCTATAAAATGACAATCGCCGATTTCAAATTTGAGCTGAAGCTGGTCGGCCAGGCTGTTCCGTCGGTAACGTTCC